ACCGCTGTTCCACTGGGGGCTAGGAATTAATTCAACATGAAAAAAGAAATTAAATCTTGAAAGATTTGAAAAGAACTTATAGTTAAAAATTCCCCGTTTTCACAGAATGAATTCGCCAGATAGCTATCACAGTATTTGATTATCACTTAACTGTTTACTTTGACATAGAGAAAACTTTAAACACTTTTCTTTCCAAAAACAAATGTTATATTTGGAAGCTTTGTCAGAAAATAATATTATCGATGTTTTTTATTTGTCTAGATTCTTTGTTTATACTATAAGTTCAAACGTAAGTTGTTGAAGTAAAATGTGTGATTACGCCAACGTTCCGTTGCTTATATTATTTTTCTTAACGTGTTATCTTTTCTAATATATACTTCTTGTTTATATCACCAGAGAAAGTACTTAAGAAGTACCTGGAGAAATTATTTTCTCGCGAAGTTTACAAATATTTGAAAATGTTTATCATCGTTTGTTTGTTTAACAAACGCACGTTAAGCTACACAAAAGACATCTAATTTTCAACTGATAGACTGGAGGGAAGGTAGACAGTCAACAGCACTCACTACCAACTGTTGGGTTACAATAATTAAATAACTGGATCTGACCGTCGTACTTATAAAGCACTCACAGCCCTAAAAGGTGGTTCGAATTTTAAGACATCCTGTGAATACTCACATTAGGTGCACTAACCACTAGGTCACGTCCGGCCTGTTTATCAAAGTATATAATATTGTTACGTCTCCGTTTGTTAATTAATTTTCCGTAACTTCGTTCCGACGAAACTTTAGCGACACAAGTCCTTACTTAATGAAACTGGTTTATTCTTTCCGAATATAACTTTACGATACACTTAATTTCAATATTCGCGCTAAAACAAACACTATAACGAACGAATGTTAACTTCAACAATACCCTATGACTGCAGTTCAATTACTCAGTATCTACTCACACATTACATCATTACCGTCACGTTGTCACCCTCTTTTATATACCAGCCTACCCTATATCTAGTAAATACTAGAGCATTCGCC